AAAATCTCACTAAACAGGTTTTGTTAACCCAATGTAATGTGGTTTACTTCCCAACCTGATTCCAGTATAGCATCACATGAAAGATGGAAGACACTTATCTTAACTCAAGCATTCCTTTCAGCTGACTCCTGGTCTTTTAGACAAAGCCTTACTCTTTCAGCCAATTGTCAACTAAAGAATCCCTGAACCCACCTATCACTTGTCAGCCCCCACCTCAAGATGTCCTGCCTTTTTGGGCCAAACCAATGTATGCCTTCCATGTATTGATTTATGATTTTATCTGTAATTCCTGTCACCCTGAAATCTATAAAACCAAACTGTAACCCAGCCACAGCAAGTCCACTTGCTGAAGGTTTCTTGGGCATGGCTCCAGGCCATGGTCCTCAAATTTGGCTCATAGCAAACCTCTTTGAATTATTTTACAGACTTTGCTTTCTTTTCCATTGACAGGTATGTGGGACCAGACTTTTGATCAAGAGGAAACTACCCAAGGAGCCTCATCTACAGTAGCAGCGACTCAGAAATGAGATGAGTAGCTTATGGAGAGATGGGGTACATGAAGTCCTAAGGGCAAAGGAAGGATATTTTGTGTCTCAAAGGACAGCAGTCTCTGGGTGGACTCTGAACCAACTACGCTTTAAGCTAGCAGCTAAAACCTAACTGATAATACTACAAAGCTCAGGTAGAGTCCATTGGCTAGCAGTTCCTGTTGAATCATTTGTAGCCAAACATTAGGGGTGTATCCTGGGGTTACTGCCAGTTTATAGGACTTGGGGGAGCTTGACTCTGTGGCCAAGGACCTAGCTCTGTTGTACTGAGCGTGAAAGCAGAACCAATTGGGGTGATTCCAAAAGCCAGTTTCCTTAGGCCAGTATGGGGCACCTGCATAGCACACTCTTGCATCTGCCATAGCTATGTAAATGGAAAAAAAGGAAGAAGAATTAGGGACCAAGGAGCTCATTTGTGCTGGGAATTCTGCAAGGGGCACAGTCAGTTCACTCTGCCCTTGTTGCCAGGAATACAAGGAAGTAGGTTATGAGCTGAATAACCATAGTAACTGTATCTGTTTTCTTGCTCATCATTTTAATTCCAGCTCCTTGCAGAGTGCCCAGGTCATAATAGTTGTCAATACATGTTTGTTGAATGAACGAATGTGTACATGAATGAATAGATGAATAACAGGTACATATTCAGAGACTGGGCACAAGTCTGAATTTTGTTTTTTTCTAAAAGCCTTCAAGAAGACCAGCTAATTGTAAGAAAGTTCACTTTAGCCAACAGAGAATTTCGTCTCTGTGGTCTTCTGGTCCTGACTCCCAATCGGAGAAAGACACTCAAGAGGACAAAGAGTCGGCTTTGGCTGGGGTAGAGAGGCCGGTCACTGGAGTTCCTGATGTGGGAACAAATGCAGACTAGAGTCCCGGAGGCACCTTCCTCGAATTACACGAGGACTCCACTAGCTGACATGGATCCACCTCCTGGGGCATGTGGCTGTGGGCTAACAGGAAGAAAGCCAGAGAATTAAAACGAAAAGGACTTAATAACTAATGGATATCCTGGGTGAGGGAAAGAGACTTCAAGAAAGTCCCTCTTTCCTCTGCCTCGTTCCCCTGAAGCAATATTACCATCCACTGGGAGAGAAAACACCAGAGAAGACTCCTGCTTAGGGGAGTGTGGAGAAGATGGACTCAGTCTGGGAAAAGGTGACCCTGAGGGCCAAAGTATTGTATGGAGCAGGAAGGTGAATGCGTGGATGGCTTGAGAATGCAGAAGTGTTGGAGACACAAATTTGAGAGTTGTCTGTATAATTGCAGACACAGGAGTGCTGAGATCACCTAAAGAGAGAGTATGTCATATGAAGCAGGAAGAGTTGGGGCCAAGGACAAAACCTACAACAAATTATTTCTAGGACCTTTACTGAAGCCCTAGGTGCAGTGTCCAACTATAAGTGAATAGTCAGATAAATTAGAGCACATTAGTGAGTGGAATACTGGTCTTAAAAGAGTTTAAAAAAATATACCACTCGGGCATAATGACTATTTAAGTTAGAGGCACTTGAAAAACAGTAGGTGCAAAAAGATCACTCTGACTGTGCTGTTTCCTAAAAGCAGAGCATGAGATTCCCATATGAAAGATGCGACATCCTTATCCTCAAGCACAAGAAGTGAAGACCAAGACAATTCTGTACAGATCTTGTTAAAATAACTCGTATCTTTTAAGCCTCCTCACATAATTTAGTGGCTTTTTCACAGCTTACTACTCTTTATCCAATTTAGTATATAAGTAACTGACCCTAACTGTCTCTTTCAGTCTTCATTTCCTTGTAAGGGCTCCCGTGCCACATAAAACTTCTATTAAAGAAATTTGTATGTTTTTCTCCCATTAATCTATTTTACATCAGTTTAATTTTTTGGCCCAGCCTGAACCCTAAGAGGATGGAAGTGGAGTTTTGCTGCCCTTAGACCCGTTAAAATTAGACAGAGGTCACTGGGTTTCTCCAGTTGTTTAGCATCTGCTGCGA